TTTTGTTCTATTTATTGTTCATCCTTTATTGCTTATCATTGATCATAAAGAGCCACCATCGCATCTCTCATAACTGTTGTCTTCCCTTGGTCGCTCTAAGCCGGCCACTCAACTCGACCCCGAGGCCTCTTACACGACAACTCGAGGCCCCGATCTCCGGCCATTTGGTTCGATTATCATATCGCTTTTAAGCTATAATCTTGCCTTATAATCTTTTATTTAGCATCCATTGCCTAAACAACTAGCATAAAAATAGATCACGTATTTTTAGAACCACAAAATTAAATTTAATTGTTATTACCATTTTCATGCTAAATAGTATCTCAATGAAACAACCTGACCCTCTTTTCCATTTTATTAAGCGAAATGATGTCAAAACCTATTGATGATCATTCCCACCTAAACATCTTCTCAATCTGTTTCCTTAACTGTATAATGGTAAAGTCTGATTCTTTCTACTCAAAGACTCTGCTACTCCCCGAGTTGACAAGCATAACGACAACAATGGGATAATGACCAAATGGGGTAAGCTCTTCATTTCCCACTTTCTCTTTTCCTTTTGATGTTAGCAAAGGTGTAGCAAGCAAAGCTTGATCGTTTCCTTAAGCTGAAACCAAATTCTGTTTTTTTTCTTTTGATGTTAGCAAGGGTTCAACAAGCAAATATTGATCTTTTCCTTGAGTAGAAGGGAGCCACCAAACATTTATTGAGGATTTCCTTCCATATAGAGAAGAATATCCTTGTTACGAAATATGGAATTGAGTCGAGGTTTGGTCATAAATGTGGAATGAAGTTGAAGGGGTAGAGGTTAAAAGTCCCTGTTGATGGGGAACCGTGTTTGAAGGGGTAGAGGTTAAAAGTCCTTGTTGCATAATATGGAATTCAGAGGTTTGGTCAAAAGAGTGGAATAAAGTTGAAGGGGTAGAGGTTAAAAGTCCTGGTTGTCGGGGAACAATGTTTATAGGCAATAGTTGAGAAAAGGTGCATTTAGATTCAGAAATAGGCAATAGAGGTGGAACCGTAGAGGGCAGCGATCCTTGTGGCCGAATAGTGTTTTTAGGCAGTACTTGAGAAGAGGTGCGTTCAGGTCCGAAAGTAGTTAATGGAGGTGGAACCATAAAGGGAAGAAATTCTTGTGGCCGAATATGGTCAGCTTCTTGTAGAGGTTCTCAACTTTTCTAACTCTTCCGCGATGGAGGAACCTGGATAAAGTTGTCACGCCATCTTATAATGATTTTTTTGGATGTTCGAGATAACCTTTTTCAACTTAGTGATTCTTGATGTCTGTGTGTTGTAAAGAGGGCTCCTTTTTTGTGACATCGTAAACCCTTATAGATTCTTTATGACGAATGTCAAACACCCCTTTTTGGTTATTCAGGATTCCGTCTCATGTCCATCCTCTCTACCTCCGCATGGAACATGAAGTGCCCGTTATCCAAAAATTCTTTTACTAGAGTGTCTCAATGCAACAACCTGACCCTCTCTTCCATTTTAATAAGAGAAATGATGTCAAAACCTATTGATGATCCTTCCCACCCAAACACCTTCTCTATCTGTTTTCTTAATTGCACAATGGTAAAGTTTGATTGTTTCAACTCAAAGACTCTGCTACTCCTCGGGTTGACAAGTGTAGAAATAACAATGAGATATTGACCAAATGGGGTAAGATCTTCATATCCCACTTTTAGCAGAAACCAAATTCTGTTCTTTTCCTTTTGATGTTAGCAAATGTGAAACAAGCAAATCTTAATCCTTTCCTTGAGTAGAAACCTAATTCTATTCTTGTCCTTTTGATGTTAGCAATGGTGCAACAAGAAAATCTTGATCCTTTCCTTGAGGAGAAACAAAATTTTGACCTTTCACTGCAAAACCAAAATCTTATTTTTTTGGTAAAATAAATTTCATTAATACCAAATAGTAATATTTACAACTCCAAATAAGTGCAGACCACCTATTTCTAAAAATATTGAGAAAACAAACTTTACTTACAAGAAAAGCTTATGAAAATCAAAAAACTATTACAAAACAACTAAACTTTATCATCAAATTCTAGTAGTTTCTTGAGGTCGCTCCCAGTATGTGATTGTGTATTGAACTTCCTTGCAAATTCTATCTGGTTGATAAGTATCCTTCTGAAGCCTAATGCTATTTCTTTCTCTCCATATGGTAGCAAAAACACAGCTAATTATTGTTGCCAATCCATACTTCTTCTTTGCCCAACTGCATGTCCACTAATTCTCCATTTGCCAATTTGCTATTGTTCTTTGAAAGCCAAGCCAGGTTAGTAATCTCTACCATAATGCTCTTGTGATAGAACAATCAAGAAAAGATGCTCAGAAGTTTCCACTGCTATATGACAAAAGATATAGTGCTAAGCGACATGTGTGCTAGACTTGAGCAACCTATCAGTTGTTGCTAACCTTTTCCTCACAGTCAAACATATTTATGTCTTGATTGAATCTTTAGTTGCCAAAGTGATGGTCATCTAGAGGAATTTCTGGTGGTGTGGCAATAAGGAGACATATTTTTTTTCATTGAAAATTATCTTCTATTTACCATAAAGGCTGAATAATAATGCTGATCTAACTCATAGGGAGAGGATCAAGAGGTTCATTGATGGCCTCACATTTCAGCTGGGGGTGCTTATGACTAGAGAGAGAGTGTCTGGTGCTACATTCGAGGAGGTTGTTGATATTGCTCGGCAGATAGAGCTGATATGTAGCCAGGAGCAGGTTGAGAGGGAGACCAAGAGGTCTCAAGGATTAGGTGATTTTAGTCGTGTTCCTTTCGGGGGTCAATTCCACCACGGCAGGGGTCATCCTTACAGGCATGCCTTGACGACTCAACCAGCTCATCGTGGTGCATCAATCAGCCACGGTTATCATATTGCTCGCTCAAGCCAGTCTTTGTTTAGTGACTACCAGCACAGAGTTCTCAGCATGCCTTGTCCGTTCAGGTTTCTACAGGTAGTTCCTCGGGGTATCAAGAGTAGCAGTTCAGTTAGAGGAGGGGTTGTTTCGAGTGTGGGGATCTTGGTTATATCGAGAGATATTTACCTAGGTTGTTGCGTGGGACTCCACAACAGAGTTCTCGACTGATGGTACCAGCACCAGCAGCTACACCACCCACTCAGCCAGATCGAGGTGGGCCCAAATAGCTAGAGGTCGCCCTAGAGGGGGAGACCGATTAGGTGGCGGCCAGATGCCAGACCAGATGCCATTGCTTCAGATGTAGTGATCAAAGGTATTATCTTAATTTTCCACAGGGATGCCTCTGTATTATATGATCCTGGTTCAACTTATTCATATGTGTCATCGTATTTTGCTCATTATTTGGATATGACCCGTGAGTCTCTAGTTTCATCTGTTCATGTATTAATGCTTAGCTTAAAGTATATATATTTTTATGTATATCGCCTCATAATTTAATCTTGTTTCATGAATTTGGGATGTTAAATTCTATCATTTATATTAATTTGAAGTGTTTTTACTTGTAGGAATGATTTGGGAGCAAGTAGGGGCAAAACGTGCAAGATTTGAGCTAAAACGAACAAAATCGGAAAAAGAAGCCAATTGGGCGCCACAGGCAGCGCCTGGCGCCACCTGTGGCGCTGAAAACAGTATGCACAATTTGGGCAGTGCCTGGCACTGGGCTGGGCTCCAGTGACGTGAATTTTCTGCAATTTCGCTCGGAACAAGGTTATTTCGGTCCTAGACCTACCCAACACGTATAAAAGCAAGACTAAACCTATTTTTGAAGAGGAAGATGCACTTTGGAGCAAAAATACACACAAGAAACATTGAGGAGTAAGAATATCTCGGAATTCTTCATCCTTTCTAGTATTTTTCGATTAATCAAAATTTATGCAATTGTTTTATTACATCATGAGTGGCTAAACACCCATTGTTCTAGGGTTATGATTTAGTCATGAATATTGTTGTTTGATATTAGCTTGACCTTGATTATAATTCACCAATATATGGTTGTTTCTTCAATTCTAGGTTTAATTGCTTAATTGTCTGTCCAGCAGTTAGGTTCTATTTACTATCTATGCTATGCTTGGGAAAGTCGTGTTTAGATTAGAGAAGAATTGAAGAGAGCATGATCTTAACCATTAGGGGGAGCGAATTTGTGGTTAGGATAGGAATATACCTAGTCACCGTGCTTAATTAAATATCGTGGTCTTAATGCGTTCTTTATAGATTGATTTCATAGGAATATATGCGTTAATCTATTGAGAAAAGGTGAGTAGTACTTCGGGAGAAGGTTATGAGAGCATTTATCGATTAATTAGCAACCATGAGTGAATTATATGAAAGGGAGAGTTAATTAGAACACAATACGAATGGTGAATCTATCACAACCCTAGAATACTTGTCTCTACTGAATACACAACAATCAACTTGTTACTTGATAATTTAGTTATTATTTAGAATTGTAGTATCATATAAGTATATATTTGGACTTTGATTTTAGCTGGATTGAATAACAATTTTAGCGATTTAGTGAGTAGTTTACACAAGTTTATATGGGTTCGACACTCAACTTATCATTATATTACTTGTCGACCACGTATACTTGCGTGTGCGTTTGAGAGCAACAAGTTTTTGGCATCGTTGCCGGGGACATGAATATAATCTACTTTCTAGTTTTTGCTTTAATTTTTTATTTTGTCTAGTCTAACGTTACTTGATTGTTGCTCTAATCTCAGAAACTTTGATTGAATGCGTAGGGTCAGAAGCCAGGACAGACTCAACGGCTTTGACCCCGAACTTGAGAAAACATTTCACAGGAGGTTGAGCGAAGCAAGGGATACAAAGAATAATCAAGCACTCATTCAATTTCCTATGAACATGGCAGAGAAGCAACATATGGTTGTTCAGGAGGTAGCAATGCCCGGTATTGCTAATGTTACCTCCAGCATAGTGAAGCCCAGAATCACTGGGCACTTGGATCTGAAATAGAGCATGATCCAACTACTTCATGCAAACAGGCTGTTTATGGGTCTTCCACACGAGGATCCACAACAACATATTCTGAATTTCTTGAAGATTAGTGATACTTATATTACTAACGGGGTCACTCCAGATTATGTGAGGCTCACACTTTTTCCATTCTCTTTGTTGGGAGAAGCTAAGCGATGGCTAAAGGCAAAACCAGCTAATTCCATTACATCACGAAATGATTTGGCAAGAAAATTTCTGGCAAGTTTCTTCCCTTCAGGCAAAACTGCAAAGATCAGAAGTGAGATAGTTGCCTTCAAACAGAAAGTAGGGGAATCTTTATACTTAGCTTGGGAAAGGCTCAAGGGGCTACTCAGAGACTGTCCTCATCACAATCAGACGAATGAAGTGTTATCTCACACTTTCATAGAAGGGCTCCATCCCCAAACAAAAATTATAGTCGATGCTGCAGCTGGAGGTCAAGTATTGGAGAAAAGCTTCGATGAAATTTATGCATTATTGAACAAATTCTCCAAAAGCAATCTGGATTGGCAAGGAGAGCTGGGTCGGAACATGGTACAAAAATACCAGGGGTTCTTGAATTAGATGTTATCTCAGCATTGTTAGCACATGTCTCTACGCTGACCAACCAAGTCAATCAGATGACCATGATCATTAACAAGCAACAAGCCAAGCCAGTGCAACAAGTTCAAATATTTTGTGAAGTATGTGGAGAGGGTCAAATGAGCAATCTATGCCCAGCAAATCCAGAGTCTGTATATTTTGTGTGTAATGCAAATCGAGGCCAAACAAATCAGTATGGGGACAACTACAATCCCAATAGGAGGAATCACCCAAACTTCTCTTGTGGTGGAAATCAAGGCAATCAGAATCAATACCGGCCTCAAGCACTTCAACAAAAATCCAGACCACCTCAGGCTGAACAACAAGCTAGCCTTGAAGGGATGATGAAGAAATTGATGGCCGACCAGTAAGCCCTCAATCAGAAATTAATAGCAGATCAACAAACTTTAAAACAGAAAATAATGGTTGATCAGCAGGCTCAAGCCGCAACACTGAGAAATTTGGAACATCACGTGGGCTAACTTTCCAGAGCCCAAAATTCTAGACCAATAGAGGCTCTTCCTAGTGATACGAAGCCCAATCCTAAAGCTCAAGTCAATGCAGTTACCTTGAGAAATGGAAGAGCATTAGAAAAAGCTCCAAAGAAAAAGAAGAATACAGCTTATCATGAAGGAGAATTAGTTCCCAAGCCAGTTGAGGGGAATGAGAAAGATGATAAAGCACCCAAGCCAGTAATTGAGACTAGTCCACCACCTCCATTTCCACAAAGACTGCAGAAGCAAAAAGATGATGCTAAGTACAAGAAATTCCTAGATATTTTGAGCCAAGTGAGTGTGAATTTGCCTTTGGTGAAAATTTTGCAGGAAGTGCCTAAGTATGCAAGGTATCTCAGAGATATTGTGGCAAACAAACGAAGACATGCAGAGTTCGAAACAGTTTCACTTACTGAAGAGTGCAGTGCCAGAGTTCAGAGTAAACTTCCTCCTAAGTTGAAGGATCCTAGGAGTTTCACAATTCCTTTGTCTCTTGGAAAACAAAAAGTTGGTAGAGGCCTGTATGATTTAGGGGCTAGTATAAATTTGATGCCATCCTCTTTGTTCAAGCAACTCGGATTGGGGGTGCTTAGACCAACTACAATCACTTTACATTTAGTAGATAGGTCACTAGTCATGACAGAAGGAATTATTGAGGATTTGTTAGTTCGAGTGGGAAAGTTTATTCTTCCTGTTGATTTTATTATTCTTGATTACGAGGTAGATGAGGAAGGGCCCATTATTTTTGGGCGACCATTCTTAGCTACCGGTGAGCAATTATTGATGTGAGGGCAGGGAAGTTAAAAATGAGAGTTGACGATGAGAAGGTCACTTTTAATGTGTACAAGGCACGTAAGCTCCCTAAGCATTATGAGGATTTGTGCATGATTACTATGGTCGAATTGAAGGGAATAGAACAGAGTCAACATGTGAATTATAGTGATCCAGATGGGACAACTGAGTTAGAGGAGGTGGTGTTTCCAGCTGAGCGTGTAAAGATGATTGAGAAAAGAACCATAGATGAAAGAGGAGACCTTCCAAGAGCGTGCAAAAAGGCTAGACTTCATGGGAGAAAGAAGAAGAGAAAGCACCCAACCTGAGCAGAGTAGCAGAGTCGTGCCGCAACTATAAACAAAGCGCTTGTTGGGAGGCAACCCAACCTGTATATCTTTTATTTATAGATTATTTTTTTAGTGTCATGTTTTGTGTTGTTTTTGTTTTGCAGAGTAGGGGAAGTCTGAGTACCCAAAGTTGAAGTTGAGGATCATGTTTGAGCCTAAGTGTGGGGTAGTCCTGACCCTTAATATTGAGGATCATGTCCGAGCTAGGCCTGAGAGGGCCTCAGGGAGTATTTCTCACCCTTGTTTTAATATTTTTCTCTATGATCATGCATCGAGGACTATGCATAATATAAATGTGGGGTGGGGAAACTACTTTCTGAAGTGTAATTGTATAAAATTATTTGTTTTTAGTTTTTCTTTTAGAACTCATAGTAGACATAGTCTAGGTTAAAAAATAAAATAAAAAAATAAATAAAAACGAAAATTGAAAAAAATTAGTAAAAGTTCAGATTTTTCCCGACGATGGATATTTTGGACAATTTTCTTGAGGGAAAAAGTTCGATTAAAAATACCAAAAAGATTTTTCATTTTCTAAGATAGTTAGGTAGTATCCCTTGGTTTTCTTTGGGCGCCGGTTCTTTATTAAGGATGTAGCTCAAACCGGATACATTTTTTAACGAGTAGTTTAGAAAGAAACTGAGTCGTTATAAGATACTCATTGACATGATTGATGCTGGCACATTAGGCTATGACATGCATTTTATTTTCCCGTGTATTTGGTTTGAATTGTGAAGCCTGTTACACCTACACCCCCAGAAGAAGGGTGTAAAAGAGTTTTTTCAAGTAAAGGACAAGCGGGACGGGATTTAATTATTAATATTCAGAGTCTCCACTTGAGAGATTAATGGTGTCCCAAGTCACCGGTTGAATTCCGAACCGAGGAAATTTATGACTCTATTAACAGTCCACGAACCAAAAATCCGAGTAAGGAATTCTGTTAACCCGAGAGAAGGTGTTAGGCATTCCCAGATTCCGTGGT